CACCGTACATGCATCAACACCTTTACTATGTCTTTCTCGCTCTCTCTCTTCCTCTTTCTCTCTCTCTCTCCCTCCCTTCCTCCCGCTCTTCCTCTTTCTCTCTCCATTACGCGACCCTACCCTAAAGACCCTATCATAAACTCATTCCAAAGCATAAGCAAGTCCCACTTTCAACACATCGCAAACACAACCCTGATATAAATGCAATCACCGTACATGCATCAACACCTTTACTCTCTCTTTCTCGCTCTCTCTCTTCCTCTTTCTCTCTCTCTCTCCCTCCCTTCCTCTCCCCCTCTCTCTTTCTCTCTCTCCATTACGCGACCCTATCCTAAAGACACTCGCAAACAGCTTAAATAAGGGTCGAGCAACGGGGAAACGCGCGCGCGGGTCCACCTGTTCGTTCTCCTTTGTTGCGAAGCCGCCGCGCGTGAGCCATTATGTGGAGCCATCGCGACAAATAGATGCTGTGAATTATGCAACATAGCGCAGCAGTCGACGCCCTTGCTTGCTAATGTTATTGCAAGGACTACATTCGCCTCGCTCCTTTAAAATCGCGCACGCACACATGGTTCCAATTCGTCCTCGACTCGCATCAACGCGAGCTCGCTAAAAGCATGTACGTGCTTGTCGAGAGACGTGTTCGGACAAGCAGGCGGATGCACAGATGTATCCGAGAGGAGGGGGGGGTGCGGAGAGGGAGAGAGAGGGGTTGACAGGAGAGAGAGAGAGAGAGAGGAGAGAGAGAGAGAGAGAGAGAGAGAGAGAGAGGAGAGAGAGAGAGAGAGAAGAGAGAGAGAGAGAGAGAGAGAGAGAGAGAGAGAGAGAGGGAGAGAGAGGGAGAGAGAGAGAGAGAAGAGAGAGAGAGGGAGAGGAGAGGGAGAGGGAGAGAGAGGGGAGAGAGAGGAGAGAGAGAGAGAGAGAGAGAAGAGTGAGTGTAAGAACGAAAAAGAAAGAAAGCATGAAAGTGAGAGAAATATAAAGAAAAGAGAAAGAGAAAAATATAAAGAAAGGAGAAAGAAGAAAAATATAAAGAAAAAGAGAGAGATAAAAATATGAAGAAAAAGAGAAAAATATAAAGAAAAGGCGAAAGACAAAAAAAAGAAAAAAGAAAACAAAAGAAAGGAAAGGAAAGAGAGGAAGACACCCCGATTACTGAAAACTAAGAATATGTCTCCCGGTCGGTTGCGTGTCAAGCGATTCGTGCTTCGAAATGCGACCGAATCAACGAATCGAACTTCATCTCGATTGCCTGCGTTTCTGTTGTTCCAAGATGATTGCCTGATTGTCCTTTGTTGCCGCGACTCTAAGGAGGTCTTTGTTGTTCTTGGCCCTTTGCCATGAGTGAATGGGAGGGGGGGGGGGGGTGAGGGTTGTTGCCGGGTCATTTCATCGGGTTGGCTTGGCGGCGGGGGTGAGGGTTGGGAGGTAGGGGGAGGGGGGGGGCTTGACGGAGGGTGGGGGAGAGGGTTGGCTTGATGTGTAGTTTGGCTTGGCGACGGTTGAGTTTGGCTTGTGAGGAGTTTGGCTTGGCGGAAGGGTGTTGGCTTGACGGAGGGGTGGTTAGCTTGATGAGGATTGCTTAACGAGGGGTGAATTGACCTGACGGTGAGGAGTTCGGCTTGACGGAGACGGGGTTGGCTTGCTCGCAGTTGAGTCTGGTGGCTTAGCTTGGTGGAGCGGCACCGTCGAAAGCAAGAAATGCGGATCACGTGAGATGGCGATTCGACCTCGGACGCTGCGGTTATGCCATAAACGCGACGACGGCCTTGACAGCACACGTAAAGCCCCGGGGAACGATATCGACGCCTGACTTTGAGGTTTTGCGTCGAAGAACATGTGTCAGACGGAAGTGCAGGAAATGCCACGTCATCATTTTTACAGACGAGCGATAGGGCACGCCGGCTCGGAACCAGACGGCATTCTGTTCTTCGGAAGGCACAATCGACGTACAAACATGAGCACTGTTCAGCGTGTTATCTTGAACGCGTCAGCATGTGCGAGGGCGCTGAGAATCCCGCTCGAGAGACTACGAACTCTTGAGACTGCTATAAACGGCATCTGTTTATTGCGTTATTTTTTCGTTTCCTTCACATAAATATATGAAAAGAAAACATAATTTTCCTAAAAAAATAACCCAACTGTTTCAAAATGATAAGTCAATCACCAATATCCTTTTCAAACCTCATATACTTGTCACTGGATTTAAAATGACCCTTTTCTTTGTAATCATAGTTAGGCTTTCACTGTTTAAGATCATCGACGGAGATTTCAAGCAAGGCAACGGAGAAGGAATCTGACATCTGAGAGGGTTTGTCTGACAGGAAAGGAGGAGAATCCATTTTTGTGTTTATCTTTTGTTACTTTTGTTGCTACGTGGTATTTGCATAAAATGCAGGGGGGAAAAGAGAAAGAGGGAGGGAGGAGAGGGACAAATAGAGATAGATCAATAGAGAGATTGATTGAAAGAGAGAGAGAGAGAGAGAGAGAGAGGGGGGGAGGAGAAAAGAGAGAGAGGAGAGAGACGAGAGAGAGAGGAGAGAGAGAGAGAGAAGAGAGAGAGAGAGAGCAGAGAGAGAGAGAGAGAGAGAGAGAGAGAGAGAGAGAGAGAGAGAGAGAAGAGAAGAGAGAGAGAGAGAAGAAGAGAAGAGAGAGAGAAGAGAGAGAAGAGAGAAGAGAGAGAGAGAGGAGAGAGAGAGAGAGAGAGAGAGGAAGGAGCCAGAGAGAGACAGAGAAGAGAGAGATAGAACGGCAAAAAAATCAATATCCCATTTTCCATACACCACGCCAAGTCACCAGGGAATCGCCCTTCCGCATCGCCCTTTGAAGAGAGTGCAGGGAAAGGGGGGAAAGGGTTCAGACCTACAAGAGAAAGGCGATTATAGCAATAAAAACAAAAACAAAAAAACAAAAACAAAAAAAAAAACACAAAACACAAACAAACATGAAGTGGTAATCGGCACGGTGTGTTACAGAAGCTCTAAAGGAGACAGGGTGTTTAAGGTAGGGTGAAGGGAGACAATACGAACGAGAAAATCATATAGTAATTAGTACAAGGTGGAAAATGGGTGGTATAGGAGCGAAGGGTATCCGATATTCAATAGTAAAGGGGGGGGGGGACTAAAGGAATAAGAGAATAACCGTGTACACTACTCCTTTCTCAAAATAGAATGTCCCAACTGCCTGGAAGTGAAGGAGAAAGAGAAGACGAGAGAGAGGAAGAGAAAGAGATAAAGGAAAATGCGAGTGGCGGTGGGGGAGAAAATCAACATGATGAGGGGAAATGTCAACAAGGAGGAGGAAATAAAGGCGATACTGCAGGGGAAAATTCGGCGTTGCGGGGGAAGGAAAAGGTGATATGCCAAGGCAGCGAAACCGACAAGGTGAAAAATAAACCTTAAGAGCGGTTTGTTTACATGCCGACGCGGCGAGGCAGAACATATGTTAAAAAAGGAGAGAGATACCGCATACAAAGATTTTATTTTTACTGATTTTTTTTTTCTCTCTCGGACGTAAATGATGTGGAAGGGAAAAACGTCAGCGGGAAACGAACGGGAAAACGTAACAAGATGAAGGTCCGGAGGTAAAGTTTCCACTCGACAGGGACGAGGCGCCGTCTGGAAATGCACCCGATATTAATGGGAAGGGCGGAAGGGAAGGGAGAGAGGGACTGATAACAAATGCAGGGTTCAGGAGAGGGGGATACGAGGGTGAACACACACACACACACACACACACACTTATGATTACATACATGTTCTCTTGATCCATGATAAACAAGGCAAGGCAGTTGTAACGTTAAATTTACTTCGGCCACAACACCATTTACATATAACCGTTTACAGACATATAGACCGTCCACCCGCCAAAGATAGCATCACGTGCTCTCTGTTTAGTAGCGGCCAACTCTTCTGCTCGATATAACCTGTCACTTTGAACATTCCCTGTCTCACCTGATAGGCGTCGTTCCCGATGTAAATCTTTGGAAAAAAGTTCACACTGCGAGGGTAAAAAATAGGGAAAATACGGTTTGCTTATTTCTGGTCCACTGGTCGTGCAAACTGCCAGGCGTAAATAAATTTGCATGTTTGATTTGCATTTTCCATCTAGTGTCTAATACTCATTGTCTGACAGGGAATTCAGGGGATGTTGGTTTGTTTGATTTCCAGGTGTTTTCTTTAATTATTCGGTCTTCTTTCTTTTGTCGGTCTCTCTTGAATATACTTTGAGAATTTTTTCTTGTTCTTGTCAATATACTTTTGAGATTTTATCTGCATGTAAAATACGTTGGTTACTGTACTACTGCACCTGTTACATCTGCTTCAAGTTTTATTTCACTGTAGGAAAATGATTTCACACACCGATTATGCGCCAGCTCTCTCAAAAAGCGATGCCATCCTCCGACCATTATATCCCCAGCAGTTACACGTCATAAAACATTCTTCCGTCCCAATGCACTTCAAAAGATTGACCCGTCCGCTGTTAAAAGATGCAGATTTCGAGAGCGGCGCGCAGACATTGTGTGGTCGAGTGGTGTCTGAGCCCCTTGAAGACACAAAAGCCCCCAAACCCGTCTTGAGTAACACTTCAGGACGGTGTATATAAAAGTATCATTATTCAAGCGACCTGGAACTCCCACCCCCTCCCCCTAAAATCTCTTGCACACACAGCTTCCCTCCTCCTCCCCCGCTTTCGCTTCCCGCGGCTGTTTGGCGAACGATGGTCGAATGCGCCTGCGCCGTCGATACGATGAGCCAATGGGAGGGAGGCGGAGGGGGAAAGCCCTGCCTGGCGTACGATAACTACCATTCCGCTATTAATGATCATTTCACCTCCTTGTTTTATGGCAAGTGTAATTCACTCATGGAAAACACTCGGCTCTAAATGATGACTGTGTTATGTAACACCGGGAAGAAAATGTTACACTTAGAGACCGAAATTTCCGACGAAACGCGAGTGTACATGTGAGAAAACATTCCGTATAAAGTCAGACCGCCTCAGAGGCCAGTGTAGTGTTGTGCGAGAGTTCGTGTCAAAAACTGTTTGTGGCTGTGGTGGTTGGACAGCTGCAGTGAGTTTGCAGCTGTGTTTGAGTTCGTGCAGCTGTGTCGGGATACTTGCAAACTACCGGAAGTGACAACACCTGTTACTCGGACTGTCATATTTTTTACTGAGATTTG